AGTCAGTCAGTCAGTCAGTCAGTCAGTCAGTCAGTCAGTCAGTCAGTCAATCAATCAATCAATCAATCAATCAGTCAGTAGTCAATTCATTTTCGATGAACCGCCTATCCTTTGAGTTCAATTACACAGACGCATAAGGCACCTTTTTCAACGTTCCCGAACCTGTTCCAGCATTTCAGGTTCGGCAGAAGATAACCCGGCTTTGAACCAGAGTTTATCGAGACACTTGACGTGGGTATACTTGGCCGTCCGCGACGTTTTCGCCGACGGCTAGGGTAAGTAATAGTATAGGATTTCGCTTTTCTTTCTGGAAGCATTCTTTCCCAAGCCATCGTAACTGTATTTACTCCGTCTGGAAAAGCAGTGGCTGTACACCAAAGCTTTCGCGGATTTCTGTACTCTGGCCCATGTCGAGACATGTGAGCCCAGGAATTTGTCTAAAAATACCAATTTCAGTCACTTGTACCCAGAATCGAAGGTTTTCAGTCATTTTCCTCCACTGTTGACCATAGGTGAATATTTGGTTGAAGACCGACTTGAACGCAAAGCCTTCAGACTCAGCTCTGCTTTAGTCACAACAGTTTGGGCTAAGTCACTCAGAACGCCACTGGCTACTCCAATTCGCCGGTCGACTCTTCCATCACCGGTAAACAGTACTTGAGCCATTGCTTATCCGTTTATCTGAAGTGTGCAGCGGTCAGGAGAATGAGTAAACTCTTGATTTTAAACACATTCACACTCATGCCCGCCATGCCACACTCGGTTGCTAATTCTTTCCAAAGAACGCTGAAGATCAGTTTTAATAAATGTTAATGGTTATATTTCTCGTCTTTATATTTTTTACGCTGACACACTCGCCGCCTTAACTGCTTGACTATTGTATCCATGTACAGCACAAGCAGAAGAGGAGACAGAGCGCAGCTATGGCTGAAACCAGTCCAATGCTGAGAGGCCTCGACTTAGTGTAATTTACTCTAGTACACCATCTGCTCTCAACATATAATGACTAGACGGCTTGTAGCAAATGCCCGTCGAAGTCATGTTTGCAGCACGTCCACAGTTTGTTGCGTGGGACATGGTCGTGGGCTTTACCCAGATCCACAAAGTACATGTAATCCGGATGAATGACCTCAAATTATTTCTCAACAATCTGACGTAAGGCGAAGATCACGTCAGAGGTGGTTCTGCTTCACTTGACGCCACAACATTCCTCATCTTGCACCTTAGAATCAGTTATTCTGCCGGACCTCATTTCGAACTATCTTTGTGCAGAGTTTACTCTAGTTGTGATCTATGCCTGTAGTCGCTATCCCTGTTCAAATATAGCCCTCCAAAATGCCATGAGTCACCGCTTCGTATTTCGTTTTCGTAAAACGTCCTTCAGTGTTTTATTATTTGATGCCTTTCTTTCAACACTGGGTACTTCTCTTCAGTTACCTACTCCAATCTTTACGGCAGAACTTTCATTTCCTATTTTTTCACTGCTTCCTTTGTTTATTAACTGATTTGTTTATAATCCTTAAAATGCCGTTCGAATGCGGCAACATAGCTGTTGTTCAGGTCTGATTCGAATAATATGACAGTTCATCATACTTCTGCTTTCAGTCTAATTAAAATGTTTCTTAATCTCTATTTGTGAGTTTGCATTTTTTTGGGCGCTTACTCAGGCATCTAGAAGTTAGCACCAAGAAAACTTGAGGAGTACATAGCCAGTTATTAGACGTTGTGTCCATTACAGTGATGTAACGGTGATGACGTCAACGATTATGCGCTAAAGGCTTCTGCTTAAGTTAAGACCGTCTTTGTAAGTTGTTACTCTCTAAATCTACGGAATAAATCAGAGTACGCAAAAAGAGAAGAGCGGACTAAGTGCTAAATATATATCCATCAGGAATCTGCCATCGGCCAATCCACTAGAGGAGGTCATGGATGGATACTCCGCTTAATTCGTACCCTCATGAATTCTCCTGCCTTAAATACCTGTTTGTTGATTTCCATAGATATTGTGCAATAATCGTCTTGATGGCTCACGCTACATGTATGCGGGTACTGAAAGCAGAAAGAAGCAACTTCCTGCATAGCACTGATTACTGGTTATATACGGTCCATATTTATATACGTGTGCGGACCCGGTACAAGGTCGTTGACTGTTGCGTCTTCTTGCCATTACTAGAGTTAGCAAAGAACTCGACTTACTTCCTTTTTCAATTCTATAAAGAAAGTAATTTTTGACTGATGCACCGTATCACAGTAAGAAATGATAGAATATTTAGAACATTTTGTGTTTTACCATCTCGAATCATCCGCGCGCTGCTGGTGTTAAAATATAGTGGAGTCGTGGAATTTATTATGCAGCCTTCTAGGCATTGTGGAATAAGAGAGAGTCGTAGAATCGAAAGAAACGTGGTTTGGTGAATCAATAATTCGACGTATGAAATATATTTATAATTTGTCAATCAACATTTTCTGCTTTTTTTTCTTATTCTGTTTGCATTCTCATCCCTCACATAGTAATCAGAATTTCCGTTTACGTAGTGTTTTAATCAGACTGCTCAGCGGACTTAACACACTTCGTTAATATAGGTTCCTACCGTGGTTGGGCATACGTATCGAAGATGCTTCGCGACAGCATGAACTTCTCGGCAGATCCGTGCGAAAACTTTTATGAATACGCATGTGGTCAGCGGATATCTGACGCTGATCCAGAGATCTTATATTCCAGCACTTTCATTAGGTTAGCAGAGCGCGTCAAGAAACATACTGTAAAGGCACTGCTCAATCCAAATTTGGAAAACAGTCAAGCGCCATCATCTTTGAAAGTTACTGCTCATATTTACAGGTAGAATATAAACTTTTTACTTTGTCTAATACAATTTGTCACGTTCTAATAAATTTAATTTGCAGTTATAACTAAACTTTAAGGGGCACATGTTTGCCGATCAGATAGGCCATCAGACGGGTCAAGAAGCATCGAACATCATCTGTTAACATCGTAGAGCTGACCTGTCTCATATACCGGTAACGTTCATCTACACTCTTACAAAGCAGCTTTCCAATTCAGCCGTAATGAGTTTCATAAAGCTCGTTGCTAACATGCTTGCCGAAGGTAGATTTCTCCACAACGAGATAGCGATCTGTATGTCGAACTCTGAAGGAGATGCAGCAAATTTACTTTCAGCCGGTATAAGACAAGCTTTCGGCCGGTTCCTAGTTCCTTTTATCATCTGCTGCAAAATCGACCAAAGAAAAATGTTTTCTTCCTCAAAAGTAGGAACTCTACCGGCCGATAACACGAAATAGAATCGACCTGATGGAATGAAAGAAATGTTACCTTGATCTTCATAGCAGCATGAATAATCATCACATTTACATTACAGGTCATTGGTAGAATATCTTTTTATTCGCACAGTAAATTCGCTGCTCCGATTTCCTTACTACACATTGAGCACTATCGTACAGTCCTGATTGATCGCAGACTTTACGCGGTTGCTATCCTTACGTGGTTTTCAAACCGATACCCAATAAAACGAGTTCCATAGAGAAGCAAAACACTTTAAACTATGCTTGCCAATCGAAATAAATACCTATCGCTCACTGTGATAAAGTCTAAAATCAGAACCTGAAGAAACTGCTGCTTTCATTGTTTAACGCTGAGCAGTCTTGTCTCCAACAAAAGTGCAATCAGAACAGGTAGGCCATGTTGCAGCTAACGTATCGGAGAACTGCTCTCAACAAGTTGCTTAGGTCATGTCTGGAAAAAGACGACATTCCATGGGAAGATGCAAGATTGGAAATAGTACGGCAGATGAAATCGTTGGACGGATGGCCCTTGATTACGGAAAACTGGAAGGCACCTACACAGGGTTGGTCCGTGTCGAGGCTGCTCGGTCGCATTGCACGAAGGTTCGGTGTAGCCACGCTGTTGTCGCCGCGGGTGATGATCGACTGGAAGAACACCAGCCGCCAAGCCTTGTTCTTCGACCTGCCGGAAACGATCATGTCTGTAAATCCCGGATCTTTACACACTACTGAAGTTCTTCAGATGTACATGCTCTTAATCGCTTCTTTGCTGTCGCCTTCTGGAAACATCACAGATTCAGTGTTGGAAGAAGCGTTCGAAGCCGCTGAGGTTGAGAGCCGCATATCACAGCTATTCGCCAACGTCTCTGACGACGGGTTTGGATTTTCGCATTTTTACCATCACTATACGTATTCGGAGCTGGAGCAAAACTGGCCGCAGGTTGTGTGGAATGATTACCTTACCGAACTCGTCAGCCCATCACCATCTTTGGCTGTATGAACTTC